GCAGGAAATACTGAGCTATGTGGAAGATAGCTTTCAGAAGATTAACACAGACTGACAAGGAAACAATCAGCCATTTTAGTTTGGGTGAATCAAATCAAATCATGAAGTTATTTCTTCATTTATTAGAGTAAAATCAGCACATAAACAATGAGTTCTGATTACTGAGGATCAAACATCTAAAAAGAAACAAGAATCCATCAACTAATCAATCAAGTCAGTCATGCACATTTACCCATAATGCAGATGAATTCATTGGCTATAAAAATAGCAAGGACAGATACAGGGAAGTCTGAATAAAACTTTAATGTACTCAAAAATGCAACTGCTTTTAATTCAAATGCAAATTCAAAACCATGTAAACCAAAACAAAAACAACATAGAAAGCATATTCAAATAATTTTCAGTTCTTTCCAGTAGAGCCAAAGCCATTTTCGCCACGCTCCGTATCATCTAGAGTCTGAAAGACATAAATTTTAAGTTGGTTTAGTGCCTTAACTTGCCTTTTGTTTCTATACAACAGATACTGTCTGTTATAGAGGAAGGCACACTTACTCATAACAAGAGAAACTGAACAAATTTGTAAGACATATTTTAGAATACTTTTGCACAAGTTTAAACAAATCCCACATTGTGAGACGTTTTGAGTATATACTACAGTATTTCTCAAGTACCAGTAACTATGAAAACTAAAAAAGACAAACACAAACAAACAACTGAAAAAAAATCAACAAAACACAAAAACCCTACATAAATGCATTCAAAGCATCAAGATTTTTATTCAGGTAGCAATGCTAATCTGTAGTTTTAACACCTGAAGTATTTTTAAGGTGAAGTATTTAGCTATACCAATGACAAATTTCAGCTTATATATAACTATCTTAAGCTACTAATTATTGAAAATAACAGAAATATTTTCTTTTGGCAACTCACTTGAACTTCTTCTAGCTCAGGATAGCAAATGCGTTCACAGATGAGCTGAGCAATTCTATCCCCCTTTTTAACTGCAATGAATTTAAAATATTGTTAGTTCCTTGAAAAAAGTGAAGTAAATTTTGATGCTTTCAGGAGTATCAGAACGTACTGAAGTAGAAACACTTACTTGAAACGTAATTAAGCAGATCTTAATAGACCCAAAAAAATTCAGATTAAGACAAACTTGTGCTTAGTCCTTTTAAAGGTGAAGTTTCAGCAGCAGGACCAGCTCAAGGCACCTCCCCTCATTTCTGCTGCCATACTGTGACATCTTAAGTGTCATTATGCAGAAGTACTGCAGAGATGGAGACAGCTGTATGTATAATGTGGCTCCTTTTGTAAACTAGAGCCAGGAACTTTGAATTAGCAAGAGGTAAACAAAATTTCTGATTGGAACCCAGTCTTGCTCACAGAACTTCTAGAAGCAGCTTTGGTTGTGAAGTTGCAGAAAAGACTGCAAAACCACTGGCAATATTGTAACTGGGCCCGGAAGCTTGAAACTGTTTGCAGAAAGACAGCATAATGAAGGGAGTGTCATACCTTTATTCGGCCTTTACCAGGATCCTGGAGTTTTTAATCTCAAGTACTGCTCAGCTACACAATTTTTTTTTCAGTGCAAGGAAGAAACGATACAAAGTTGCACTTGAGTACAGCTTGTGAATCTAAAGCTTACGGAAGCAGGGCTTTTCCCCCTTGGTTTTGTGGTGGTGGTATGTTTGGGGCTTAGTTTTTGGTTTGGGTTTAGTTTTTTTTTTGCATGCAGCTTCATTTGCCAGGAGTGGAATAATTTTTTTTTTCCTTAACAGGACATTGTTAAGTTCCATATTTTTGTTAACTGTAAGAAGAAAAATGTTCTCAGTTAATTCTAACTTTTCATAGACTTTTAAAGAAAATTTAGTTTTTCATTTCCAGTCAGATGGCTGAAAACAGACTCTGCCAAGCTTAACACTTGCCTTCAAAATTCTCTTTCCCAAAGTTGAAGAGTACCACACCAACATTTCCCCTGTAATCTTCATCAATAACACCAGCTGTCATAAGAAAGAATTGAGAGATATCTAGTTAACAAATATTGTCAGTATATTAGGTAAGTAAATTAGATGAGATTTAAGATCAGTAGATTATTGCAGTATCTCATATTGATATGCTTATACTGCTCATGCACAATTAATATACATAAAGACACTGAAGTAGCTAAAAATGCTAATCAATCTTGCAAAAAGAACTGAAAAACACCATCACATATCAAGAAGTGTTTTACCACTGTACTACTAATTTTAGTTGTAATACCTTATTTGAAATCAAGACAGCTGGACAAAATTCAGGCTCCATTTGTTCTGCTAACTTCAGCTCTTTGAGTGTCAAACAAAAATCTGTTCTTAACTCTAACATTTGATTTAAAAGTTATGGATTTGCACAGATCCAAATCCCATATCTCAGGCAGGGTAACAGAACCAAAACTTTAAAAAATAGATTGTCATTCAGCTACATTCAATGTAATACTGCAAAACAAACTTGCTTTTATGTTTTATGTAACTGTATTAACTACTGAAATGCTGGGGTTTGAACCCCGAGCCCCGAATTAAGGTTGACATACGGGTGATTCCCACAGCCCTTCATAAAGAGGGGGTGAGTTTGCCTTATAGCTTCCCCCCAGGGTGCGGCCGGCCCTGCAGGGAGAGCCAGAAGGGAAATGAGCCCCAGGGGTCCCACATTGAGTTGACAAAGGTCCGGTGTCTGCTTGGGGATAAAAGCTGGGACCACTTGCAGGGAGTCAGGAGTGTCTGTCTGTGGAGTGCACTCCCCAGAGCACCCTGGTTCAGGGCAGACCTCCTGACTCTCCTGGAGCTGGGCCCCACTCTGTTTAGACCTTTGTGAATGCAGGCTGATCGGGTGAGAGTCGCCATGTGGGCACCTTTCTCTTATGTGTTCAGCTTGCTGGTCTGGCTGTTTCCCATGCCAACTATGGGAGCCCTTGGTTCTCTGTTTGTACCACCTGTTGTGGGCCGAGTCACATCTTTTGTGGGATCGTTGGGGGTGGTGTCAATTATGTACCAGCTGATTGATCTGTTTGCACCCCCAGGGGTCATTCATATTATAATGTTTTTGTTTACAATACAGTCTGCATATTGGATTCTCTTCCTGCTGGTGCTATCATTTTTGTTGGGCCTGGTCATTGGCAGAACAACTACATATGTAGGGAGATTATCTACCGATAGTCATTAAAATAATCATATTCTGCTTCTTAGGGTTTTTTCTCTCAAATACAGTAAGAACATTTCCAGTAGAAAAACTGCAGTTTCGCTTTCCTTGCGGACAAGTATTGCAGAAATAATTCAAATATTAAAATTATATGTTATTTTAATGTAATGACATTAAAATTTGTCATTGTCATTTGAATGAATAGAAAATGGATGTGTTTTTTTTCTTAGTTCCTTCAGCTGTGTGAAATTATTGTGATACATATGGCCCATAGATACTGTACAATCTCTGCACTAGTTCTAGCTAGGTCCCTAGCTGAAGTGCTAATAACACTGGGAGTATCCCCCAAGTTCTGAAAATTCACAAACACATACAGTTCTCCAGTTAACTCACTGGTTTTTAACTGTATGCAATTGCTTAAAGGGACCCTAGTTACAGAGCACTGTCAAAAGTAACAGTGACCAAAGCAGAAGGATTGCTGTGCACTAACATTTTCCAGAATCAAAAAATAATTTAAAAAATTATTGACTGTAGTATTCAATTCAGTTGATTCAGAGAGATTGCTGTACCAAAGCCACATGCACAGGTCTTGTACTGCTTGTTTGGTTTAGGTTAGACCAGCTTCCAAAAAGTGAGCTACATGTTGGTTAAACTGAGACTCGCAGTACACCACCCACACTGGTGATCACAGAGCTTTCTTGCACTATTTCTACCACAGTTCAGTGTGCCAATTCATTACTTAAAATATAATAATCAAATCCTATGCATGTGTCAAAGGGTATAAGCAAAAAAGCTGAACTACAAAACAGTAACATGAAAATTTTGCCTTCTTCTAGCATACTACTCCTTCCTCCTTTTTAAAATCTCAGATAATCTAGAGCCCCTATAGAATTGGTAAAGCAGGGGTGACACAAAGCGTACACTGACGAGTGCTCCACAAGTGGTTTGTATTGTTTTATACAATCGTGGACACCGAGTCCATGTTACACAGATGCATAACAAAGAGAGATTCAAACAACTTGTAGTTTGCAGTACCAATCATTTTAAGCATCACTCAAGTTCTGCAGTCAGTTGCCCATTATTTTGGTGTATTTGTTCAACTGAGTCAATCACCTGGAGAGCTGAAAGCCAGAATTCAAATTTACCACATAAAAATATACACATATGCTCATAAATGCATATAAAAAAGATCATTAGCTCATTGGAAAAGTTTTTAATTCAACAAAACATTCTCAAGTGTTTCTGTACAGCTAAGACAACATTTTTCAGACTATATGCTGGTATAGGTGTTGCCATACATTATAGATTGATAATGGAATTTGCTAATTTAGCATAACAAGGGCTAATTTTATTTGTGTTATATCAGAGTAGAATACTATATTATAACAGAATACTCAAAACTGATTACTACAGATTACTAATTCTATTGAAATGGAGATTATGCTTTTATATGTAAAAAATGTACCAATTAAAGTAGTATGGTTAGATTATACATGTAAGAAACTCTTGCATGTCACATTTTTTCTGGAATTAACTGAAAGAAATCTGAAGAAAAGCACACCCAATACAAACAAAGCTTGCAATGAGAGCTGAAGCTACGTACTAGGAAAATAACATTTAAAAGTATGTTTTGTGGCCAAAACAATTAGTCTAATGCTGTGCTGAGTGACTGAAAATGCTGTTGAAGCCATGGTAATTCTGAATTCCATTCTAGGCACAGCTGGGTAAAGGTGTTGTGAAATGAATTCCCTACCAATCACTTTCTCTTCAAATGTATTATACCTCTGTTGACATGGTCTTACTGAGTTTAACCACCGTGTGGATTTTGAGTTCAAACTATGCTATTTGTATTAAAGAATATATAATCCTTGCAACACACAGGAAAATACGGCCCAGGTGCTGTTTCCTTCTGTTCAGGGTCACAAACTCACTCTGTGTAACCGTATGTATGAGCAAAACGTGTTAATACCCTTGGCATTCTGTTCTTCTGGAATGCCAAGTTGCAGTAATTATATACGTTTCTGAGGACTAAGGCACTTTTCTACATGATGGGTACTGGGTGGAAAGCATCTAAGTCACTGTTAGAAAATTCATGCACTGGGATCGGCAGTCTGACATTTTTGTACCTTGTCAGAAGTCTGGCATGTTACTTGTGGGGAGAGTATCCATACCTAGCAGATGGGAATTCTAAACATATTCTTGCATGATCCCAATTTTTCTCCCTGACTCCTAGGACTTCTGGCAATGTATTTTTACTTGAATGGCTAATGCTCTCATAATGACAGTACTTCTCCAGAAATTAAAATTATGGAACAGTTGTTTTGGTTTTTTTTTTTAGGGTTTTTGATGTGGGTTTTTTGTTTTCCTTTGTTTTGATTTTTTTTTGTTACTAAGTGCTCTATTAACTGTCAATAATAGTTTTCACTCATGGTTTGTCAACTCTCAGCTGATTTTAAAATCTGAACACAGGTCATCCTGCTAAACACTGCTGATTGCCTTCTGGTATTTCCAAGTTTAACTTTCAGAGTGAAAAGACTGTTACAGAATATCTCTTTTTCATATAAACAAAAAATAGTTGTAGAAATATCACTTTAAAGAAACACTTTAGTAAACCATGTAAACTACAGAGAATTGTAGGGGTGAGAGAATCTTTGATTCCCATCTTAGCACTCTTTACTATGGTACCCAGTAACACTGAAAAACCCTTAGTGGAACAGACATGCAAGAATCAATTCATGTGTGAGCCTCAATGACACATAGCTGGCACAGATGCTCTCCTTTAACCTCGGGTATCACAACTGTGTCACAGGCACAGCTAGACTTTGATATGCTATGAAGCAGATAAATTAGTTCTGCAGTAGCTCTAAATTACACTGGGAATTCCTTTGCTTTGTGGCTGGCTTGGCATCAGAAAGAGAAGGGTGCCTAAAGTCACCCTTCCTCATGTCCAGAGCCAAGCCTATAAGCTAGTAAAGGCTAAGTACCAGTGTTCGAAAGTAGCCTGTTTTGTTTAACATTGGGAGGGGTTCAAAAACCACCCAAAAAAAATCTCTAAAAACCCAGCAAAAAGGGAAAAAGGCCCCAACTTTTCAGCAAACTTTTCTTGTCAGCTTTCATTATGACTCAAATTATAATATGCTTGCAAAAAAAAGTGCTCTCTTGGCCACCAAGATACCTATTAGATGCATCTTCACGTCATTACATCTGAAATTCAGGTTTTGATTCTTTTACTACAATCTATTGCCAGAAAAAAACAATTGCTTAGGGGTTTAAGGGGCAGAAAACATTTTACTTAACTTACTCGTGTACAATTAGAACAACGTAATACACATTTACTCCTAGTTAAATTGCTATGGACACAGCTGTACTCAAAATAATTCCCCAGTAATCTTACTGGTGAGAACAACTGCAACATAGATGCCATTTTCTAATACAGCACTTGGAGAATCTGCCCGTGTTCTGATCAGCCCTGCTGCAAAACTGGAATTGAACCTTAAACATCACTTACTTCATGTTCCAGTTAGGGGGATATGGCAAAAGGTCAGTGAGGCTATCACAAAGGCTTCTGGTTATATATCATATATGACTATAAGAGTCGTTTTCGCAGAGATATCTGTGAATTTCTAATTAAAGGAAAGCTCAGAATATTTTTAAAAACCACTCCGTTGTTCAAAACAAATCTGTTGCTACTACTGAACAACAACAAAAAAGTAAAGGCTTGTTGAAAGTAGATTTTAGTTTTATTTCTTTCAAAAGACTTTCAATTTTTAAGTCAGTTATGCAGAAAGTTATGAGTTTAAATTTCATTTGCTTTACAAAATCTGTTGCATTTTCATCAGTGAGAGTAAACTAAACCTCTTTTCATCCTAACAGTCAGTTATACTCACAGTAATGGTGTTTAGTCAAAATGGAGAAAGCAGATTGTAGGGGAAAAAAAATCTTTAAAGCTTAAACAAACAACAACAAATTTCTATGCCATGCATTACCCAAAAAAGTACAATATGGTTATTATTAAAAAAAAAAATCAGTAATATTTCTATAATTCAGCAAGTCTTAAAACAATTATAATGCACTGTCTCTCTGAGGTATTATCCAGTTATCTCCTTTTGACAGACAACCAACAAAGCTAGCATTATTTAAGTATGCATATTACCACGTGAAATTAAGGCACTTCCGCAGTCAAGATCTACAAAGTCTTAGTATAAAGAACAAAAGTCTTACCACCAACATCTATGAAGTGCTTTGCAGCTAAACCAGAACGCGGTGCTAGAAAACAAGACATTTCTTTTGTAAGTATAATAATTTATTTATCTTAAAACTCTTACACAATATTTATAGGTTACATAGTGTGTTTTCACAGAGTTGTGGCAGCAAGAAGTATTTCCACAGTCTAAAATAAAAATGACTTTACAGGAACAACTGTAAGTGATAATGTATATACTAAACAAATAACAGCTGCTACAGCCTACAATAAAATAGCACTATTTCAGTGATATAAGTATATCTTTGTTTAGACCAGCAATTGCAGAGTAGGGGTCTCCAAGGAAGGTGACTGGAGTGGACAATGACTATCTAACCTTGGTTTATGTTTGTCAGCTAAAACTGGTTTGGAATAATCTCAAAAAACTGTCGGGTCAATCCATTCAAGTTACAATGGAAAATTCTTTACTTACCTTAGCCTATTTTGATGAGGTGCCAAAATGTTAGTCTCTTCAAAATTTGCCTTGGGATAAGAGAAATGCACATGCTTTCTCCTTTCAGATGAAAAAGCACAGCAAATTCTGATCACACTCTTCCACTGGAGTGGCTATTGCTTTTTTTTACTCTAAAAATTTACATCTAATTCAGAAAAAGAATCTGCAAAACAAAACGTCTTGTACAAGTTCTCTCAAGTATTCTGTCACAAAAAGTAGACCTTTCTGCTACAGTAAGACTCTTACTGGAGGGGTACTTTTTAAACATCCAGTGGTGTATTTTCTGCATGTCCATTACTGACTGGTCTTTGTGATTTGAATTCTGAAACTGCAGAGAAACAATGAACCATTGCATAACCTAAAAAATTGTATGTAATTGTGAAATTTTTTTGCTAATCATCTTTTTGTCATTTGGCACATGCCAAACCTCAAATGTATTTAACAGGACCTGTCCACTATGAGGCTTGCTACATCACACAGCCATGTAACACCTTTTTGTGTGCAGACTAATCCTGAAAGCTTCAGGTGAAATCTAAATGTGAAGATAGTGTCAAACCTGTTCTGCAGTGACTCTGCAACCTTTTTTAAAACTTGGTTACTCACCTACTCGGCCATAGCATCCAGAAGGAAGTGCAATTTGAATATCTGTTTTCACTACAGCCTTTTCCATGGGTGGTATCACACAGTCATAGGCACTACATAAAAGAAAAAAATAGTTTATATAGAATACTTTGAAAATTTTATTCTCTAACTTAAGGTCCAAAATTACCCAGAATTACTCTTGCTGGGAATTTATACCATAGAATTTACAAAAGAAATATTTACAGATTTGCAAAAACCTAATCCAGATTCTAAAACATCTGATAATCCCAATTTGATGACACTAGTTTAAGATATCAGTAGTGTAATTTGAACAGCATAGTCTTAAGATTGTTAGTTTTAAATGTTTACTAACTGGTAAGATTAAAAAAAAAAAAAGTTTAAATCTAACCATTAGGTGAATGAGCTTGTGCAATTTTTGTGCAAAAGCAGGAACTTTAAGGATAATACTCTTCTGATTAGGCTTTCTACAGCAGGTGAACCAGTTGTAATCAATACCAATAATAACTGAGTTAAATTTTAGCAACAATGGTATATTTCTGGTCAGGTCAGAAGTTCCCAATTCACATGATTCTGCTGGGAACTGCAAACTAGATTTTAGAACTTTCTGAAGCTACCCAGCTGGAGGCTTAATGGTAGGCATTGGTGACACCACCACAGTGAGACTGTCCTACTTGTTCGAGGCAAGCATATCTTGGCCTTGATGAACTGATTTTTAAATATTGGGAAGCACTGAAACGTTTTTTGTGAAATGGCCTTTTTTCTTCACGTGTGTAGTGCAGCACAGGAACAAGAACAGAAACCTGGTACGACAGAAGGAATACAAAAGAAAAGAGTCAAGTGTGGTGAAGCAAAGCTTCAGGAAGAAAGTCAGACAGGCAAAGGAAGAAAAAGACAGGCTGGTTATTCTAATACTATAAAAGGGAAGGTAGAGGAGGTCACAGTGGAGTTCAGGTATAACTAGCGATTGTACTCGATCACAGAAACGCTACACAAGCAACCACAAGCTTAGCTGCAGATATTCCTGAACGCAGTGAACATCTTTGAACAATGGTTATTATCGGCCGAAGGGAACAACACCCTAAGTCTGTGGAGCAACCCACATGTTCCCAGTTAGGAGCATTATCAAACTGCCACAACTTCGTTTGGCAGACGCACCCAAGAGAATAGCAGAAAAGCGCTGGCAAGGAGGGCCCCCATATGCTACCATTCCTTCTTTCAGTAGGAAGGCACCAAGTCACCGCTGGCACGGACAGAGACTCCGGCAGACGTGTCCGGCCTGACTTTGCTGCATCGCTACCTGATGGCTGGGCCGCGGGTCTCTGGAAGCGGGGCGGGATGGAGGAGCAAAGGGGACAACGACCAGGCCTGCTCTGGCCGCCTCGGGCTCT